GGTGAGGAAAAGACAAAATGGTAAAAGCTGTGCTGACTGAACTTTCAAAATAAGAGCCAAAAATAAAGTGCATGTGTGGTGTTGTGGAAAATCAGTTGCAGATGGTGTTGTTCTCGCAGACAGATGAAAAAGATGAGTCTCCCAGGCGGCCCGCCCACCGCTTGTTGACTAAAGGATGTTTTTAAAGACGCGCCCTCCGTCTCGAGTGTGTCCTGCAGGTGATTCACACCTGATGACTGATCCTGGTCAGCGTGAGTCAGAGATCTGCTAAACGAGCTTTTGCAGTGAAACTGAGCAGCGAGCTGATGTTTGCTGTCTGTGACACGTGCAGCGTCGTGTTTTCTCTTCCTGTCAGTCATGCACGCACATGTGCACACATACAGCTGCAGCAGTTTGTCCTCTGGGCACGCTCACGCCAGCTCCCATCATCGCGCCGCAGACGTCTTTATCACGCGGTGTAGACGGTTTCCTGCAGCAGACGGAGATGCTGACGAACTTGGTCTGACACACAGACTTTACTTTTACTTCTGCAACTCCTCAGGTCACTAAGCCCGCTCTCTGATTGGTCAGGACACCATCGGCTGTTGGTTCGTGCTGACAGGTGATTGGCTGACAGGTGTAGCGATGTGTTTGGTGGAGTTAGAGCAGCAGCACAGAGACACCGTCAGTAAGGACTCGTCCTGCTGAGGTGAAGCTCTGACTCCGTTTCCCAGAATGCTCCCCTGTGTTTCGTTTTAAACCGTGTTTTTCCTCCTCAGGTCCTCTGGCACCTCGACATCTTCCGCCGCAGTTTCCGTCAGCTGACCACCCATAAGTGCATGGAGGACTCGTGCATTTTCTGCGCTCTGAAGGTGAGCACCTCTCCAAACCTGACCCTCAACCCCTGACCCCGGTCCCTCCTCTCACTGACCCCTGACCTCTCTATTCCACAGAGCATCTTTGCTCAGTTCCAGTACAGCAGCGACAAAGTTTTGCCGTCCGACGCGCTCCGCAGCGCGCTCGCCAAAACCTTCCAGGACAAGCAGCGGTTTCAGCTCGGCATCATGGACGACGCTGCGGAGTGCTTCGTAAGATGATGACACAAACTCTGAAGGCGCTGCAGCGCTTGATCAGTGTTACAGTAGAGATTACGCTTTGACCAATCAGAACCAGCGTTTCAGTAGCTCAGGTGGGCCCTCGCCACCTCGATTATCTCAGCTCAGGCTTCACTTCTGCGTCTGCAGGAAAACATCCTGATGAGGATCCACTTCCACATCGCAGACGAGACCAAAGAAGACATCTGCACAGCCAGACACTGCATCCCCCACCAGAAGTTCGCCATGATGCTCTTTGAGCAGGTGAGGAAACGCTGGGATCACAGAGACGGTTTAACCAGTCAGTCAGGTGACTGTAAAACCAGTTAAACCAGTAATGTTCATTTTCTGTTTATTAACGAGTCTTTAAAACAATCATCTG